CAAACTTTGGGGCCACAATAATCACATTAGTTGCACTTGTTGTCCTTTTAACTTATACATTATTGTCGGTATTTCTACCAAGCTTTATTACAATGTTATAGCTGAAACAATCCCCGGAGGTAGCGCAGATGAAAGGTCACACACACATGAGCTACTAAGTCTCTGCGAAAAACACACCTTAAGCCAGCAGATAGTGGAGCCAACAAGACTAGAAAACACACTTTACCTTATCTTCACAAATAATGAGGACCTGATAGACATAAGAATATCAAAAACAACTAATTCCGATCACAACCTAATCGAAGTCCAGACGTACATGCATAGGGGTCCTGATCAGCAGAATGCATGTACCTGTGAAGGTGTCTTCACAAAATACAATTTCAACAACAAGAACATCAACTGGACCAGTAAACCATGTCCTAAACGAAACATGTTGGGAAGATGTCTTAAATGACATGGATCCAAACCAGTGCCTTGAAAGGATCAACTTCCTGGTAGCCGAAACATGTTCTAGGCATATTCCCCTAAGAAAGAAGAGCAGGAGTAAACTGGAGAGAAAAAGACGCTCCCTCTACAGAAGACGACGAAGAGTCACTGAGCTCCTTAGGAGTGCTAGAACATCTAATACATGAAAGGAGGCGCTGACCAGGGAAGTGGAAACTATCGAACTTAAGCTAAATGACTCTTACAGGAACCAGGAGAGGCAGGAGGAGCTTAAAGCTATTAGTGAAATTGAAAGAAATTCAAAATATTTCTTTTCATATGCCAAAAACAAGGTAAATACCACATCTAGTATCGGGCCCTTACTCAGACAGGATGGGACTTACACAGATGACAACAAGGAAATGAGTGAAATATTGAAATCCCAGTACGACTCTGTGTTTAGTGAACCACTAATCGGTCTGAGGATCGACGACCCAAATGATTTCTTCATGAATGAGCCTCAAAACTCCATAAATGTATGCCAGATTTCCGACATTACCCTAACTCCGATAGATTCGAAAAGCCATTGACAACATGCCTATGCACTCAGCCCCGGGCCCAGACTCGTGGAACTCTGTTTTCATTAAGAACTGCAAGAAACCCCTCTCGCATGCCCCTAAGTACACTATGGAGGAGGAGCTTGGACATGGGTGAAATTCCACAGTCACTTAAAACAACGGATATAGCCCCACTCCATAAAGGTGGCAGCAAAGCATTAGCTAAGAACTATAGACCAATAGCTCTGACGTCCCACATCATAAAAATCTTTGAAAGAGTGCTAAGAAGCAGGATGGCAAATCACCTGGATTCCCAAAATCTGCACAATCCAGGGCAACATGGGTTCAGGGCAGGTCGCTCCTGCCTCTCACAACTACTGGATCACTATGACATGGCCTTGGATGCACTGGAAGAAAATCAGAATGCAGATGTAATATACACAGACTTTGCAAAAGCATTTGACAAATGCGATCATGGCGTAATAGCCCATAAAATACGTGCTAAAGAAATAACTGGGAAAGTGGGGAGATGGATCTTCAACTTCCTAACAAATCGAACACAAAGAGTAGTGGTCAACAGTTAAATCGGAGGCTGCCATAGTGAAGAGCTCTGTTCCACAAGGCACAGTACTCGCCCCCATCTTATTCCTTATCCTCATATCAGACAAACAGATATACACCACAGCACCGTATCATCCTTTGCGGATGATACTAGGATCTGCATGAGGCTGTCATCTGCTGAGGACGCGGTTAATCTCTAAGAAGATATAAATAAAGTTTTCCAATGGGCAACGGTAAACAATATGATGTTCAATGAGGACAAATTCCAACTACTCCGTTATGGAAAACTGGAGGAGATAATAACTAGAACAGAGTATACTACTGACTCCGGCCATACAATAGAGCGGAAAACTAATTTAAGGGACCTGGGAGTAGTAATGTCTGAGGATCTCACTTTCAAGGATCACAACAGTGCCACGATCGCACGTGCAAAGAAAATGATAGGATGGATAATGAGACTTTCAAAACGAGAGATGCCAAGCCCATGATGACCTTTTCAAATCACTTGTTCTCTCTAGGCTGGAATACTGCTGTACATTAACATCTCCATCAAAGCAGGTGAAATCGCAGATCTAGAGAGTGTACAGAGATCCTTTACTGCACGTATAAGTTCTGTCAAGCACCTTAACTACTGGGAACGCTTGGAAGCACTTGACTTGTACTCGTTGGAACGCAGGAGGGAGAGATATATCATAATATACACTTGGAAAATCTTGGAAGGAATGGTCCCAAATCTGCACACAGAAATCACTCCCTACGAAAGTAAAAGACTGGGCAGGCGATGCAAAATGCCCCCAATAAAAAGTAGGGGCGCCATTGTACACTAAGGGAAAACACCATAAGTGTCCGGGGCCCAAAACTGTTTAACAGCCTCCCATCAAGCATTAGGGGAATTGCCAATAAACCCCTGGCTGCCTTCAAGAGAGCTGGACAGATACCTAAAGTCAGTGCCGGATCAGCCGGGCTGTGGCTCGTACGTTGGACTGCGTGCGGCCAGCAGTAACAGCCTAGTTGATCAGGCCCTGATCCATCGGGAGGCCTGGTCATGGACCGGGCCGCGGGGGCGTTGATCCCCGGAATAACCTCCAGGTAACCTTCAGGTAACATCCCAGCGGGAGCCAGTGATGCTCCACACAACGAGAAGCATTATGGGGACTCGAAAATATATATTTTCATTGGCACAAATGAATCTCTAAAATAAAAAGCGGGATAAATTAGTTACTGCAGGGAAAAGTGTTCATCATACTGATGTTCTTGGTTGCACGACGGCCACTGTATGTACGACAGAGTAGCTGACCTGAGGAACTTGCGTTCTTTTAAAGACGGCTGGGGGGGTCTGTTGGTAGTCCCGACGTATGAATTATGTATGAAGGGAGGGTGTTGAAGTCTGTTCTTACGATAAGATCTATGCCTCGTTGCTTTAAGGACTAATGACTAAGAATCTGTTAATATAGCTTCACTCTACATTTTTACTGCTTTATTTATATATAATATATAATATATATATAATATATATATATATTATATAAATTTTTAACTATGTATATATATATATATATATATATATATATAAAAAATTTGCAAAACAACCACTGTGAAAGAATAGAGAAATTCCAAGCGCTTTCGTGACTACTCACATTATTATTGTTCCTTGATAATGTGAGTAGTCACGAAAGCGCTTGGAATTTCTCTATTCTTTCACAGTGGTTGTTTTGCATATTCTGAAATCACCTGTTTACTGTGATCTTATTACATACATACATAATATAATATATATATATATATATATATATGTATGTATGTAATAAGATCACGTAAACAGTGATTTCAAATATGCAACAACCACTGTGAAAGAATAGAGAAATTCAGCGCTTCGGACTATACATTATCAAGGAACATATATAATGTGAGTATCACGAAAGCGCTGAATTTCTTATATTTCACAGTGGTTGTTTTGCAAATTTTATATATATATATATATATATATATATATATATATATATATATATAATAATATATATATTATATATATATATATACATACATACATATGCCGAGTAAGTTAAATTGGTCAATTAGCAAGAACTCGTTTAAAATTAAGTCTTTTTCTAAAAAAAATTATCTTATACGTGTAAAGATTTTTTTCATTCATGTTAATGTAAAAATGAGTAATTTTGTACCAAAAGTACCAAAATATATAAACTATATTATTTTCTTCTTATTCTTTTTAGTAATTACAGGAAAAGGGGTTAAAAGCCTATTGTTCCCGGCATTTTAGTCGACTTTTACAACAGGCATGGCTTACGGAGGAAAGATTCTTTTTCCACTTCCCCATGGATATAAAAGGAAAAGTAATAAGAACAAGAACTATTAAGATAAAATAAAAACAAAACTCAGATAAGTGTGTATAAATAAACATGTACATGTATGTGTAGTGTGACCCAAGTAGAAGTAGCAAGACGTATCTGTAATCTTGCATATTTATGAGAGACAAAAGACACCAGCAATCTTACCATCATGTAAAACAATTACAGACTTTCGTTTTACACTCACTTGGCAGGACGGTAGTACCTCCCTGGAGAGCGTATAAATCTGTAGGGAAGGAAGGCGGGGTGGGAGTCGTCCTCGAAAAGGTTGGAGGAAGGGGGTAAAGGAGGTTTTGTGGGCGAGGGCTTGGACTTCCAGCAAGCGTGCGTGAGCGTGTTAGATAGGAGTGAATGGAGACGAATGGTATTTGGGACCTGACGAGCTGTTGGAGTGTGAGCAGGGTAATATTTAGTGAAGGGATTCAGGGAAACCGGTTATTTTTATATAGCCGGACTTGAGTCCTGGAAATGGAAAGTACAATGTCTGCACTCTAAAGGAGGGTCCGGGATATTGGCAGTTTGGAGGGATATGTTGTGTATCTTTATATGTATATACTTCTAAACTGCTGTATTCTGAGCACCTCTGCAAAAACAGCGATTATGTGTGAGTGAGGTGAAAGTGTTGAATGATGAAAGAATTTTCTTTTTTGGGGATTTTCTTTCTTTTTGGGTCACCCTGCCTCGGTGGGAGACGGCCGACTTGTTGAAAAAAAAAATATTATCTTACTTATAACAAGCGCAATTTAATTTAGCCTAATCCAACTAAATGTATTTTAGGCGAGTTTACAATAATTTAATAATAAAAAATGAAATATATTTTTTTAATTAGGTTCAGAATGATTTTTGCGAAATTATTGCATACACAAATTTTCGCTTGTCTTATTCGGCAAGAAGAGCGTTGCAGTTTAAGCCAAAATAGCAGGTTTTACCTATTTGGCACGACATTATATAAGAGAGACAGACCCGAGTATTTTTTAATTAATGAATATTTACGGATTAGTGAATATCTTGTGACCTTAAAAGGCTCAGGAACACTACGTCTTAAAAATTAAACTTATGGCTGTATATTAATTACCGTTTCATTTATTTACAGAGTCTGGAGAAGAGGAAGAATTAACAAGGAGTCTGCCTGAGGAAGTATACAGAGAAGACCTGGTTGACCTTCAACACTCAACGACGACACTATATATTACAACCGTGAAATCCAAAACAGCAAAGTTAAGAGAATGTTTTAGAAAACTAAACTATTCACTGAATGAACGATGGTCTTAAAGGTGATTTATTTGCTCAAGGTCAAGATGTATTTTTGTAAGCCCTGTGCTAGTGCTCCATTAATGTTAACATATATATTAGCAAGGAAATACTTTGTTAATTATAAGCGGCTGGAACTTTGACCAAAGGTGTTCATTCATAAATATCAAAGTTCCAGGGAGTTTTACGCAAATGAGATGAATTACATTTCTGGATTTGTGTCTATAATGCTCTGACTACTGCCCCAGGATGGTCATTGCTACACTATAAAACAAGCAAGCTTTCCATCACTGTTTTCTTAAGTTATGGTTTACATTAACAAAGAAAATGAAATCACAAGAAGAAGAAAACAACGAGAGAAAACGGTGCAGAGAACAAGGTAAGATACCAACAATCATTATATTTTTTGGTTGGCACTATTAATATGCGATAGTGCCAACCTAATTGTTTAGGCGGTAGACCTAGGCGAGGTTATCATTGAAATGTTTATACTAAACCTTAATTCACAACTGCATCAAATATACACACCGAGATGTGTACATCTCTCAGTGTATATATGCGCTGAGAGTTTATTCTAATCCCTGGTTCGCGGATTAAAGTATTCTTGACTGGTAGTAAACAAGTGATATGCAGCGTTAAATGACCCTTTGAGTAGTCGATAGGCTTTAAGCCCACTTAAACCAACTGCATAGCACCGAGAGGTGTAAGTCAGTGTATAAACACTTAGCTTGCCTTAATCTTTGTTTTATGGATTAAATTATCCTCGACTTGTGACGAACAGTTTACCTGGAAAATTATCGTTTGGGCTTGTATAGTCAAGTTTTAAACCAAATTACCAGCCATCCAACTGCAAGAGAAATATATCAACACCAATGAAAGCAAAAGACTCGGCAGGAGATGAAACATTACCCCCAATGAAAAGAAGGGCGCCACGAGTACAGAGACAGCACAGTAAGTGTCAGGGGCCCAAGACTGTTCAACTGCCTCCCAGCATATATAAGGGGATTACCAATAGACCCCTGGCTGTCTTCAAGAAGGCACTGGACAGGCACCTTACCGGGAGTTTACCTGGAGAGGGTTTCGGGGGTCAACGCCCCCGTGGCCCGGTCTGAGGCCAGGCCTCATGGTGGATCAGGGTCTGATCAACCAGGCTGTTACTGCTGGCCGCACGCAAGCTGACGTACGAACCACAGCCCGGTTGGTCAGGTACTGACTTTAGGTGCCTGTCCAGTGCCTTCATGAAGTCAGTACCTGACCAGCCGGGCTGTGGTTATGTCAGTTTGCGTGTGGCCAGCAGCAACAGCCTGGTTGACCAGACCCTGATCCACCACGAGGCTGGTCTCAGACCGGGCCGCGGAGGCGTTGACCCCCGAAACTCTCCAGGTAAACCAAGATGTGTGTATTGCAAACTCTAGCTGCCCACTGAAACATTTTTATTAACATTCAGTAATTACTAACTTACAAGTGATGGTAATGGAAAATTATAACATACAAACCGAGGTATTTATGCACGAGTATATACACACGGAGTTTATATCTCAACTGAATAATATCCTAACTCAGTTTATTTTAGCACACCTAGGGTATATTACATTCCCGCAGGATGCGACTCAACACTGATAACTTTCAAAAACATTTAGACACTTCCCTGTAGAGCTTGACTGTGAGGAGGCACTGACACCGTCCTGGTCACGTTGCCAGTGTATGCTGTCTGATTTTAATGTATTATTACATTCAGGGAAAACGCTAACTCTTTAGGGAAGGATAACTTAAATTTCTTTATTCAGAAGCCCTTCATCAGGGAGTGTAAGCAATGAGCTAGGCTTTCAGCACCGCTTTTTGAATCACTGTTGGTGGGAATATTGATGGCTAGAAATATTCATAGTTTCCGCCATCAAATCTTTGACGCCACCTGAGGAAAAGTCTGACAAGACTCAAAACTTGGGCCAGCCCCGAGACTTTAAAGTCTGCGAAGTCTGGCCTTCACCTCCTGCCCTCGGTTGTCAAGCAAAGCAGAAATATAATTCATTCATATTCTCTGTCTCAGAGAGAGAGAGAGAGAGAGAGAGAGAGAGAGAGAGAGAGAGACAAACACACACACACACACACAATGTTCCAGAGAGGGGACACAGCAACAAGTGGTCACAACTGGAAGCTGAAGACTCAGACGAGTCAAAGGGATGTTAGGAAGTATTTCTTCAGTCAGAGTTGTCAGGAAGTGGAATAGTCTAGAAAGTGAGGTAGTGGAGGCAGGAACCATACATAGCTTAAAGATGAGGTATGATAAAGCTCATGGAGCAGGGAGAGGACCTAGTACCGTTCAGTGAAGAGGCTGGGTCAGGAGCAGTCTCAACCCCTGCAACCACAAAGTGTGTATGTACTCGCCTAAATGTATTATCAATCATTCTCAAGTAACTAGGCAAAAAATATCAACAATATACAAGTTAAACTGTTAAGATCATGCAATAATAAATACATATGCGAAACAGCAAGTTACACAATACATATATGAAAGCTTTAGGGTGTTTTCCGGGTTAAGTATAAAATTGCCTCCTACTTTAATTTGTGGATTATTTTTATATTTATTGTAACTGAGGTGGGAAGTACAGTGACTGCGCTCTGAAGGAAGTGTTATCACAAGTCGGAGAGTCATTATAATTGTGACGTCACCACGGTTATGTTGAGACAGCTGTATATTGGTTGAACCATAGTGAACGTTTCCTGTCATGAGTAATCCTACCTTGGTAGGAGACCACAGGAGTGATGAAACAAAATTCGGACACAAAAATGCACATTCAATTTGTGTATATTGTGATGAGTATCTCTCTCGTGATGCATGTGTTCTGGAGAGCACCAGTCCAGCTTCACGTGAAGGGGTACATCTTGGCCGATATTTGGGATTATTCTGGATTGGTGAACAGGTGACATAGCCCTCGTATGTCGATAGGTTTCAAACAATTAACAAAATGACCTAAACCCGTGCATATCAAGGTAAACAGACTTATCAGAATATATACGGAATTATTACAAGTGCTATGTAGCTAAAAACATTAATTTTTAGCTATTAGGGAGCACAATCAAGTCATCAGATTTGATTGTGATCCCTAACAAATGTATGTATGAACTATACAAATGTTTTTCTGCAGTATTACATGCAATAAAATATTAACTACGTAAGACAGCCACTAGCATGAGGTGCATTTCGAGCAGACTAAAGCCTAATGCTGACAGGTTTCTTAAGAACTAGACATTAAGAGTTAGACATTGGTTATTAAGGAGTTTTCTAAATGTACAAAAAAAAAAAAAACTGGGAGGTAGCTAAGTGAACAACAGTACAATTTTAAGTATGCATTGGGGGAGGGAAAGAGGTAGGTAACTGAAAATAGCACATGTCTTCAACTCAACATTAAAAAAAATATGTTTTGACTTTCATATTTACTTTTTAGTAATTAAAAAATAGAAACGTTAATCTGACCTAAATTCTACATAACTAGATTATGTTAACGTCCTGTGTGTGTTACATTCTAATATATATCAATAACTTGTTTATCCAAATCATATTAGCATTCCTACTCGTGTTCCCACTGTCGTCAATATATTTCGATGTATAGCTAAAAATACGTTCTACAGAAGCCCTCCAAACTTTCCTCAGCACTGGTGAACACTCCTCCAGATGGGTCGAAAAAACTGGAACCGACCTCCGCATGAATCAAATACATGATCTATGTCAAGTAAGGCAACAGCGGCACTTCTCCGCTCCATGGAATATTACCCCATTCCAAACTACCATTCCTCCATTTCCCCCCAAACTACTTCTTAAATCACAACCAAAATTTCGCCTTGAAGCCAAACATGAGGCCTTAAGCTGTATTGATAACTTAGTCACACAGCACACACACTCGCAAATTATTTACGCTGATGGTTCTGCTCACCAATCCACTGGTGCAGCTGGTAGTGCTGCTGTTGTCGTACAGAGTGATGGCTCTCTTAAAGAAATTGGAGCACGCATCAATAATTGGGCCTCTACCCTTCAGACAGAACTGTTTGCCATACTCCTTGCACTGAAATGCATCTATGTATCAAAGATTGACAGTTTAATTGTAACTGATTCTCTGTCATCCATAAATGCTCTCAACTCATTAAGCATAAATTGTGGCATGCTTGTGTCAGAAGCCAGACACAGGTATGGTAGGATTGTGGACAGTGGAGTCAGAGTGCACATGCTGTGGATTCCATCTCACATTGGTCTTCAGATGCATGATAGAACTGATAAATTGGCTAAGCGTATGCTTTCAAAGAGGAGTAGATTACAATCTTGGCTTGTCAGGTAGTAGTTTGAGAACAATAATACGAAAAGAACTTCAACTGAATTTTATGGACTTAAGGCTCAGGGAGATTGACACCAGTGAGTCCATCTATCATCACTATCATGCAGGAGGAGCCACATGTCTATGGTGCATCCAACAAAATAAGCAGACTCTTGGATGTCACTACTGCCCGGCTCCGGCTGGGTTACAAGTATCTTTGGCAGGTTAAATCACCACCACCAGATGTAGACCAAACGAAATGTAAACTTTGCCAGATGGACTATTGTCACACCCTGCGTCATTATGTACTGGAGTGTGATAAAATTAATGAATTTAGAAACAACTCACTCAGAAATGTTCAAGAAATGGCAAAGTATTTTATCCACAGTGGCATATTGCAGACCATTCTGGAGAAATACCCTGACTTTGCTAGCTGTAAATAAAGCATTACCACATGTGTGCATGTGCGCGTGTGTGTGTGTGTGTGTGTGTGTGTGCATTCACCTAGTTGAGATTGCAGGGGTCGAGTCCAAGCTCCTGTTTGTTTACCTGGAGAGAGTTCCGGGGGTCAACGCCCCCGCGGCCCGGTCTGTGACCAGGCCTCCTGGTGGATCAGAGCCTGATAAACCGGGCTGTTGCTGCTGGCTGCACGCAAACCAACGTACGAGCCACAGCCCGGCTGATCAGGAACTGACTTTAGGTGCTTGTCCAGTGCTTGTGTGTGTGTGTGTGTGTGTGTGTGTGTGTGTGTGTGTGTGTGTGTGTGTGTGTGTGTGTGTGTGTGTGTGTGTGTGCGCGCGTGTTAGTTACCATTTTGTCCTAGGCACATGTCGATTAGACACTAGGCCTGTTGTATTTGTGAGTGTGTGTGTGGGGTGTGTATATGTGTGAGTGTGTGTGTGTGTATGAGTGGGTGTGTGTGTGTACTCACCTATTTGTGGTTGCAGGAGTCGAGTCTTAGCTCCTGGCCCCGCCTCTTCACCAGTTGCTCTTCACCGGTATGAGTGTGTGTGCGTGTGTGTGTGTATGAGTTTGTGTGTGTGTGTGTGTGTGTGTGTGTGTGTGTGTGTGT